ATCATTATTATTATTATTATTATTATTATTATTATTATTATTATTATTATTATTACTGTTGTTGTTGTTGTTGTTGTTGTTGCTGATGTTTTGGAGTCTGTAACCACCGTTAACATCTTCCGTGTACTGTTTCAGATTACAACGATGTGGATGTCCAGGCTGGTGCTGTTATCAGGTCTGCTTGCTGCTGCTCATCCCGCGCTAGGAGGCAGTGAGCGGCCGGCGTGTGAGCTGGCCCATTGCATGTGCACTGATCGAAACCCAGCTCAAATTCACCACGGGGGACAAGATGGTCGAAGGAACGGAGATCTGTATGACGTCACGTGTTTTGTCTCGTCTGTATCACCGTATGAAGCCACGATCTCTTCGTTACCCTCGGATATTTCTTCTCTGCACTTGGATTGCAATGTCTTAGATAAAGAGTCCTCCCTCACTAGTGGTTTCTTTGAACGATTCTCCTCTTTGCAATACCTGACAATAAGCGGGTGCAAAATTGCATCTTTAGATCGGAGGTCCTTCAGTGGTCTTCAGAAGTTGTCATCCTTAGTAATCTCAAAGTGCATATTGCCAGAGGTAGATACAACTATTTTGCACGAACTGCAAGCCTTGGAACAACTGAGTATAGTTTCGAGCGGACTTAGGGTTTTCCCAAATATCTCTCATTTGACCAATTTGCAGTATGTAAATGTCTCTCATAACGATCTCGAGTGGATGGAATTGGTCAGCGAAGGAGAAACGGTTGACTTAAAAGCTCACGAGTATGGTTCGTATCCGATGTTTACCAATATGACTCTGTTGGACATCAGCTACAATAAGATAAAAACGTTTCCCGTGGATTTGATCTCGTCAACCCCGAATCTTGAAAAGTTCCTTTTGAAGAATAATTGTATCCAAAACATCAGCTTTCCTGGGTATGTTAAATTGTCGTCTCTGAAAGTTCTGGATGCCCGGGAAAACAACTTGGAGATCGTGCAGTTTGAAAGCATCAGTTCCGCTTGTCACTTGCACCAACTAAGACTTGAAGGAAATGGCGTCCCTTTGAACTACGAAGGTATTTCTTCATTAGGTGACCTCGAGGAGCTGAGGTTGAGGAACTTCGCTGTCAATGACACGATCTGGGACAGTCTAAACGCCACGACTTTATACAAGCTGGATTTGGTTGGTAACTCGTTGGAAACAGTGAATGTGTCAAGAATGCCGTCTTTGGCCATTTTGCTCATTGGTAACAACCTGGTGAGCTATTTAGACCAATCAACATTTATGCAACAGTCAAATCTCATTGCTCTGAATGCATCTCATAATGACATTTCTTATCTTCCTAATGGGGTGTTTTCTCAAACACTAAATCTTCTGGCTGTTGACCTAAGCCATAACAAGTTGACCGATTTAGGCCCTGACAGCCTGGAAGGTCTACAACATCTTGTGCACATCGATCTCAGTCACAACGCCATCCAGCGTTTACCTTACTCCGTATTCAGAGATTTACGCTCGCTTCAAGGACTGAAAATTGAAGGAAATCAACTGAAGTTCCTTCCCAGCTTTTCAAATTTGGGTTCACTGTTGACTTTGAACGTAAGCGAGAACCAATTGATCGTTCTTAGGTTTTCGGACCTCCGTGGTTTGTCCAGTCTTCAGTGGCTGCATGCTAATGACAATAACATCACCTCCTTGCCTACTGGACTACTTTCCAACTCACCACACCTTCTTCAGGCTGATTTCCACAACAACAAAATCTCTTTTGTTGGTTCGTTTGAAGCTCACCCTAGTTTGGCAGTCCTTCGATTAGATGATAACCTCATCCCTGACTACGACGGAGAATCGCCGTTTGTCAATTTACCCGCTTTGGCGTACCTATTTTTAGACGGCAACAAACTGACAACGTTGAGGCCTCGGATGTTTCCCGTGTCTGTCCAGTACCTAATCCTTGACAGAAATGATCTTAGCAGTGTCCTCATGGACTCTTTAGATACTCTGCCACATCTGGTGCGCGTGAGTCTGATGCAGAACAATTACGTGCTTAGTCTCCCCGCTTGGTCCGTGAACAAATTCAATAAGCACAGCCCCAAACCAATCTTCGATCTGGGCTTCAGCGTCCTTCGCTGCGACTGCTTCATGGCTTATCTCAAAGCCTGGGCGGAAGACCGTTACACGACGTCTTTCCTCAGCCTGTTTTACCCAGAATTCCACAATCTTCACCTGGCTTATTGCGTCACTCCTTTCATGAAGAAAGGGGAGTATCGGCCATTTCCTGAAGTTTCCATCAGTGAGTTTGCATGCGAGTATAATGAGACGTGGTGTGATATATTCTGCAAGTGTTGCTCCACACTAAAGAACTGCTCATGTGCCTTCACTTGTCCCACCGGATGTTGGTGTGCATATGCAGGGGCAGCTTATAAGAAACGCTATGTGCACATTCGTTGTGAGGGAAGACAATTTCGCCAGGTCCCGGATAACATTCCATCTCGCACAACCCATCTGCGTTTAGATGGCAATAAATTAACACATATAAAAGCAATAGACTTGTCCCATTTAAGAGATACTGAGGACATTTTCTTGAATGGCAGCTCCATTGAATCTATAGAAAATGGAACATTTGAGAACATTACTGATCTTCTCACTTTGAGACTGAACGATAATCTGTTAGTTAGTGTTGACTCCAATCTCTTTGGGAATATGTCACAGCTTCTAACACTCTACTTGCACAATAATATGATAGCTTACATTGAAATGTCAGCTTTCGACGGAATGTCATCGTTGCAGATATTAACCATGCACAACAATAAACTGACGAAAATGGATCAGCTGCCCTCACTGCCGGAGATAACCGCCATTACACTGTCCTCGAACCCTTGGTCATGCGATTGTTCTGCCGGAGACACTGTTTTTCAATTTGTCTACTCTTTCAACGACGCCATATTAGATCGTGCAGAAATGTGCTGCGCAGAAACTTTCCCAGACCAAATCGCTTCAAGCAGTTTGCCAACAGTGCCGGAATTTCAAAAGGATAACCAGACGACCACCCGCCATGCTGGATCCAATTTTTCAGAACTCCACGTGTCGAGCAATCAACTTTCTGACTGCCGTTTAGTTATCAATTACAATTACATTGACGCCTGTTCGCAACCCGGATCTACAGGGCGAGCCGCTCGTGGGAGCTCCAGCTACGAAACACCTCCGATTGTCGTTGCTTTGTCCACGGCGACGGTGATTCTCTCCGTGATCGCCGCTGTTGTCGTTGTCGCACTCTGGAAGCGTCACGAACTGCAGGCATGGATGTTCGTGAAGCTAGGGGTTCGCATGTTCGACAAAAAGGTAAATAAAAAAAGACACCC